GAGGAAGGTCGCAGAATGGCAGCCGAAACGTTGGTATCTATGCCTAAGACACGGCGTCTCCCGAACAGCCAAGTACTGACTTAAGCACTGACTTAAGTACTGACTGAAAGAAGCTTACGCTCTCTTTGCATTCCCATATGGCTGCATGTTCGCTCTCTTAAGCCGTGTTAACTATTGGGCGATAAAGAAGGAACGGAGAGGAGGAAAGGAAGGAAAGGAGAAAGGGCGTACGAGGAGTACGCACCGGAGCGTGGACCTACCGCCCACATCGTCCCCGCCGCCCGCGCCGCCCTCCCTCGTCACGACAGTGAGGGTGAGAATGAAAGCGAACACGACTCACGCCGCTTTAGCACCTCGTCATTCTCCTCCGTTTTCGCCTTCCCTTTTTTTCTATCCTTCCTATTCGAGTCCTTCCCCTCGTTCTCCACCTATTTCTGTTTCATTTTAGAATATTTGCTTCTACAATTTTTTTTCTTCACATTTTTCTTCTTCTACAACACTTTCATGATGGAGATGGAGTTTTGCAACGCAACCGGAGAGCAATATGCAATTTTTGGAGCTGTGATCGACTTGGTACTATTCCTGGAGTCAATAGAACGAAATTCTCAATTTAGGTCATTTGCAGAATCTTCTCTCGAGCTCCCCTGATCGACACCAAAATTGATACCCGCGAGGATGCAAATACTACATGCCGATAGCACCTCAACAAAGCCCCAGTTGGTCGATTCTTGTTTTGATTTCGTAATTTCTATTTCTCAAGAGAAAGGAAACGCGTTTCGTCTGATAAGGTTGCTATCGTAGTGAGAGTACTTTTCACAAGCGTTGGTTTCCTCTGTAGATTTCGATCAAACGTGATGTGAAGGGAACTTACAGGAACTCTTCATCGTGTTGTACTCGCTTGTGTTTTCCAATATTATTGTTCAGCCGTGGACTTCAAGATTTTGTTCCTCATTCTTCCCTCGTTCCAGCACTTTTTTGGATCAAAGCTATACAGATGTATTGGAAGTATTTGAAATCTTCCTCGTTAAGTACTTGAGTACTGGTGCAATGATATTTGAGGGCTTGTCATTGGTAATACCACGAGTGCTTTGGGAATTGTCGATAAATCTCCGACTCGCGAAGCGAGGAGGAGGTTTATCTGAGAATTTTCAAAGCACTATCGGTATATAATAGGACTATTGCACGCGCCAAATATTGAAAATAACTGAAAGCATACTAAAATCAAAGAGGTTATGTTATACTACATACGCGGTTTTTTTCACGTGAACTCAGCGATCGATACAAACCGCCTTCTAATTTAATATGTATTGTTGAATACTATTGATTTTAATTTCACTAGTGGAATAGTCCTGTTGCGTCCTATCCCGTTGCGATTGAAGATGCGTTTATTAATCTGCACTCGAACAAAAACACGAAAATTTTATGAATGGTTGGTGACGTTCATTGTGGGATTTATTTTCCCTGATTGGCAGGGAGAAAGTAATTTAAATTTAGAACGATATATCAATACATTTTGACGCATGAATCAAATCGTATTTTAAAAATTCGTACGCAAATAAATACGATTTCTTTAAGCTAGATGCTATTCACTAAAGCAGAATTATCACTGTAATGTGGTTCACTTATCATCTCGATTTGCTGGCCCATTTCCTGTACATTAAGTACACTTAAGTATATATCTTTGAAAGACTTTGAAATGTGTGTATACCCAAAATTTGCTCGTTTTGTGACATTAAACGCAATTCTTTGCATTTATTAATTGATAAGCGGTTCCGGGCGCGCCAACTGCTTAGGTCATTAGTCCCGTAAGTGTAATGCATGATTTTATCGCGTGAGGTGGCTGTGATCTTTGAATTGAATTGAATTGAATTTGCCTATTTTACGTGGCGAGGCTCGGATCCGCTCTTTCGTCCGACCACGCATATTTCGCTACGCTCCTTTCATCAACTAGGAGAAAAAGGAGGTATTTTCTTAGGCGAGAAACAGGCGATTTGAATTTAGCTCAGATGCGTCATTTAGGCTTGAGAATCTTTTACATGCAAGTAAATCTACGAACATGGGACAGCCGGCTTTACTTCCCCTCCGAAGGAAGGCGTACGAAGGATTTTGTCGCCCTAAAAATCCACGGCTTCGATCGGGTTTGAACCCGCGAGCTTGGGTATAACAGTCCGGTACGCTAACCGTCACGCCATCGCCGCCGGTGATCTTCCCCGCTGAGTGGCGAGATCCGGCATCGACCACCGTGGCACCGCCCGGCCAGAACGAGCTCTAAGCTCCCGACTGGTCTCCCAACTAGTGTGAGAGGTGAGAGTAGAGGAAAGAAAAAGCGCGCGCGGGCCGTGGCCCGTTTGTTAGGGTACTACTCCGGCACCTGCCTGATGTTGATGGGAGAAACTACGGAAAATTACATGTTTTTCATGAATGGTTGTAAATAGATCAAACTTGTGACTTGTGAAGCATAAAATTTAACGGTGCATTTATTAACTGAAGATTTTAAAGTGGAGAGCGATAAGCAATGGAAGCAAATGGCAGAAAAAGTATCAACCTAAGGAGCACGTGGAACGTTGCAACTCACTCGTAGTCCCGAAATTCGAGTGGATGTGACGTGTAGAATGGAGTTTTCGCTCAGAGTGTGAGTGCCGTGAGTGTAGGCGCGTTATTCGGAACGGATGAACGACGCACGGAGCGAAATGGCCACAATGACACGCGGAGAACAAGGCGATAAAGTAACGAAAGTGTACCCACTCTACTTCTCCGTTTACCGGAAGCTGAGGGCCCTAACATTTTGTTATAACAACTTCCGGAAACAGAACACATGCCGTGCTTTAGCAGGAAGAAAGAAAGTCTACTATTCACATAATGCGTACTCTGCCAACTGTAGTAAAGAACTTGAATAATGTTCACACTTTTCTATAATCACTTTATCGTCGTTTTAGACGCGTCTGGAAATAAGATTCTTCTACACGGATTTAAGATAAATTGTGAAAAATCACGTTTAACAGTTTAGAGGATGTGTGTGAATTTTTCATGTGGGATCGTTGTGTACCGCTAAATGCATTTTTCAGATGCCATTAGTTCTTTGAAGTGCATCTTCTGAACACTTCAAGGGCATCCAGAAAACATTTGGACCAAAATGTTTTAATACTATTTCATGAAAACGAGGTCTATGCTGGCACCTGCTTACCGTTCGTACCGAAATAAACGAAGGTCAATTAAACGTATTAAAATCATGTTAATTATTTTCAAATTAACGAACCTCCCGATTGTCTTCTTATGTGTTATTGTGTTCTTATTATTTTGCTTGTACGTAGTTTTTGGTGTGTTTTTCGTTTTGAAGGAGTCTAATTGAGAAATAATGTGGATGCAGAAAATGCTAAATACGATATCGACTTTGAGCCAGTAGCGTAGCGTGATCATTATTCCTAGAAAGGCTCCAAAGAAGATTAACGTCTTATTAAACATTCTCCTGCCGTCATTAACGAAGAGATGTTATTCCCTTGTTTACACGTTGGGTACTAGAAGAACGTGAGTGTATGGTAACGGAATTGTGCTATGTTGTTATAACTTAAAGGAGAAAAAAATATTTCTTTACAAATTGGTACCCATACATTGTTGGGGATTGTAACAAAGTATTTATGAGATTGTTTTCTGGTAAAGCTATATTTCCTGCAATAAAGAATAACACTTGTATTATTCATCAGCTGTGTTGATCTGAACTAAATACGGTGAACCAACATTAATTTCTCACCTGTCCGATACACTATTATATATAAGCTCGTCCCACAATAATGTAGAATAAGCACAATATTTCTGTGTGTGTGTGTGTGTGTGTGTGTGTGTGTGTGTGTGTGTGTGTGTGTGTGTGTTTGGAGTGAGAGAGCCCGCTACTGGCCACGGCTGATGTCGAGGATTGCCGAAGAGCCGTTTAGACGAGCCTGTGGGGCTACCAAGCAGCCCGTATTCACAGAATTACATCTCTGCATCTCCTGGGCACACGCACTGCGCACGCGATGAAGGCTCCGAAAAGCCTGAGCCTTCGTTCTCTCCCGCGTAAGTTCGCAATTGAGTGGGAAGAACTAGATGCCCAACCTACAAAGCCACACAACCAATTGATTGTTCGTTCGAACATTATTAATAAAATAATTAAAGACGTCATTGCCAACAATATTATTTAATGTAAGAGCAGCTTTTGATGGCTTAGCCATCATCATCAGTTGTCTGCTGGATGGAAGCCACAAACACGACTACATAAACTTAAATAATACGACTTAATAATATTGTTGGCAATGACGTCTTTAATTATTTTATGAAAAATGCCAAAGATATCACACCACAACACCTATATTATTAATAAATCCATTATAAAGTGACGATTTTTTAAAATTAAAAGCAGTTTTTACTTTTCTTAAAATATTTATGTAGGCTCCACCTTTCAGGAAGGACCTTTTCTTTTAGGAAGCTACGCCACTGCTTTGAGCCCTTTGAAGCACGTGCGCTTCTTATTTGTTTTTCAAGTCTTCTAACTCTTTCTTCTTCGAGAACTGATTTTCATCTTTCATGTAAACATATAACAAGATAAATTCTAAAAGTAGTTAAGAGTTTTCCTTTTCTTACAAGAAACGCATTCTCATTCCGTCTATGACAGTTTGCGCACCTATCTCTGACTATTGTGGAGGTATCTGCATAATGGGACATCCGCTGAGATGCTGCCTGCGATTACGTTCACTGAGTCGAAGACAGGTTGCTGCTGCTGCTTCGTCGGGGAAGATCCCGCGAGGCTTCCTGGCATTGTGCATGTGCCCCGGCGGCCCCTCCCCCGCGCCCACCCCCGCGTTCGCCTTCCTTCGGCTTTCTCCTTCCGGAGCTCTGCCGCCACGGTCGGACACGGAAGTGCGTAACGGGCGGGGGCGGCGGCCCGCCGGCGGGCGGGGAGGGAGAAAGCGCCTCGCGGGGGCGTGGGCGATGGAGATGGGCGCTGACGGGCGCGGTGGATGTTGCAGGAGCTGCCCACGCAGTCACACAGCACGTGCAGCGATGGCTCGCTGCTCAGCATGGGGAGCTCGGAGATGGACGAGGTGAGTTGTGCCTGTAGTCAGATTGTTTAGAAAACAGGTTTTGTGAAACGTTCAGAAAATGTTGTATAAAATGTTTCACAAAATAACTATTATACACGGTCAAATACAGAATTCCATTTGACCGTGTACAACAGTATCCAAAAACGACTGATGAATTCTTTGATTTTTCTACCTCAAGAACTTTAAATTTGTCCATAGAGACGATATCTCAACAAATTTTGAAATAGATAAGTTGAGTCATGATTTAACGATTGATCCGTTTACTGCTGCAATATTAATAAGAGGGGGAATTATTTAATAAAATCCTAAGAGTAAATTCTATTAAATATTTATTAATTATGAATTAGTGATATTTTGCACAGCAAAGCGTTACAGTAATTGACAGCACTATCGATCTTTTGCGTAGTTCGCATTTTGCAGTTTCGCATCAGTTTTGGGCATCTGCATATGTGCACATTGAATTAAAAGTGTAAATGTAATTTCAAACTTGCATTGTAAGCAGATATCCCTCACTACTGAAACACACACACACACACACACACACGATTTTATTCGTTTTAATCACTATCTGAAAATATTTTTGCTTGAAAGTTTCCTGACAAGTTAAAATTAATAGTTACTCAAAAATTTTAAGGGGGAAAATTTCCTTATTTCCCTCCCCGTATCTCCGCGCGTGCTTTAATCCATTCTGCCATTCACGAGCGTCATCGCAGGGCGGGAGGGGGAGGAGGGGTGGCATTTTTGAGGGGGCTCCCTGGTAATCCGTATCTTATCTCTTGAAACTGCCCCGCAAAAATTTGGTGCTGATGACACCCATGCAAAAATTTATTTTCAGAAATAATTAATTCATAAATGTTATCTGAGAGCTTTATTAGGAATCACAAAGATGTTCTCTATGAATTTTGGCCTAGTTAAAACAAAACTACCATCACAATAACAGCGTATATCCAAATTAGAAAATATTTACCCTATACAATGTTTTATCTCGCAAAAACTAGCAAAACAAAGGGTAACAGTTCTATGCCTCCATGCAATATTGAGGCTCAAGGTTGATATTTTTGAATTAGAGTTTATACTTCTTTTAACACCTCCAGTGCCCCTTGTGTGAATCAGAATTTAAATTTTATGAGAATTAAGTGAAAAAAATGGACAAAATATAATAACAATATTTAATTTCATAGTGAATAATTAATTTAATAGTGAATAATTAATGTTGCACAATTTGCATATCTGTAAATAACAGTTGAAAAACATATTCAAAATGTCTAAGTTTGTATAATCCAAAAAAAATTATTTCCAACTCATGAAAATTGTATTCACTTATTCAATATTTTTATAGTATATAAAAGAAACAAAATTTGTTGTTAGTTGAAACAGTGACACAATAATGAAACTACAGCAAATAAACAAATATTTATTTCACTTTTATGAATTCAATAAATTTATTTTATTTACATTTCATGATAACATTCACAAATATTTCCTCTAATTATGATTTGAATTTGTAGGACTCCCTTGGACAACACTCTGGTCATTCTTCCAAACTCTCTCTACATGACAAGAAAATGCTACAAGAACCTGGTAAGTATTTTTATCCAATTTCTTAATATTGTACTTTTGAGATTTAAGATTCTTAAAATGATTTCAAATTCTTAAATACTTTAAGATAAGGAATTGAGTGAAAAAAATTAAATTAAGGAATTTTATTCTATATCAACATTATATATGAAAAAAATTAAATTAAGGAATTTTATTCTATATGAACATTATTGCAGAAGAATTATCATGAATACTTGCACTTTTTATGTTATGTATTTAGTATTACCAATATTTCTTTGAGCAGTAAAAATTTATATGTATACCACTATGTGAATTTCAATGTGTATTTATAGTTTCAACATTTTGAAAATAAATTAAGGCAAAATTTTCACTTGATTGATTTAGAATTAAACACTACAACAAAATCATTGAAAACTGAAAATTAATTAGAATTCCCAAATTAGTGACAAATGTATTTCACTAATGAGAGTAGTTCAACCAAATTAGGGTGTAGAGATTTTAGAAAATCAGTAATTAATCAAGCAATTTCACAAATAGCTTCGTTTACAATTTTATAAATCAGATACAAATGCCTGGAATATTGTAAATAAAAATTAAACATGTTTTGTAAACAAAAATTAAACACATTTATGTTTTATAGATTTTTGTTTAAAAGGACTATGAAGCAAAAAGAAAGTAAATTCAATTCCATATCTTAGTATTTACTTGCAAAACCACTTACGAAAAAACAAAACTGAAACATAGTTACCTGTAGTGACAGGCATTATACACTTCCACCATGTCCTACAGTTCACCATGAACAAGGCATAACCAACACACATATGAACAGTGCTGGATTTATGCGCCAATTTTGATTGGAAACATTCACTGCTTGCCATGGAGAGTAGCACTATACAGTCTGGGATCTTGCATCTATTCCATAATTGCATTTTTTATGATAAATTATTAAAATTTAGAGCAAAAATGTTTGTGGTTGGAGTAATTTTTGCCTACCTGTGGGCCACAGTCTTCAATTTAAGACCATTTCTAAGTTAATATGCTTACTGTCAGCTGCATGTTCTCTGCTCTTCTCAATTCTCTGCCTTCTTCATTGCTTCTTCTTGGCTCATACCAGTGAAGGTCTTGCATTGGTCTATCCATCTCATGGCTCTCCTTCCTCAGCCTCTTTTTCCAAGCCATGTCAAAGCCATGCCAAGCCTTCTCAAGCCATGCTCCATTCCTCCATCAGATGAGTGTCAGGAATCTCGGTATTCTTTGTTTGCAGATGTCCACCAATCTCTGTTCAATGTTTAGTCGTCTTTTAATATATAGATGATATCAATGAAGTGTTTAAATAGAAAAAAAAAACTCATGTATTCATACACAGTAAAGTACGTATGTAGAGATTACAGACTAAATATCACATAATTATCACTATTACATCCATTTACGAGAAAAGACATGCACATAATATTACGAAAACAAAATTTACCATTTCTAGGGCCCTGAGAAAATAATCTAAATTTTTATAACCTCTGCTGAAAATCTTACATCAATTTTTAATTAGGCTATAATAGTTTATTTCAACTTTCCACTTTCTATTTAATATTTAATGATTTAGTGTTTCATTAAGCTATGTTGGGTTTTATCATTTTTATTATAGTATTACCTTATTAAAATATATATTTACTTTATGGTGCCCAATATTACTCTTCTGAAGAGAAGAAACAATTGCAGCCACAACACAGTGACCACTAGACTCAGTTATTGTAGAACAATTAAAGCAAGGTGTCTTCAAAACTTGTTTAATAGAACTTTGAATTTCCAATCTTTCAGTTCATTCATCATATTTTAAATTGTTTTTTTTTTTATAATTATGTACTGTTGTGGTATGGTATATTTGCCTCTTGAAATTTATGGTCATGAAGGCAGTAGGAATCCAAGAAAAGACAAATCCAGATTAATCCATAATGCGAGCAAGAAAGCAATGTAGATAAAATTGTACTTTTCCAATCCGGAAAAAAACACACACACACACACAAGCTGAAAACTGTAATGAATATTTTTATTTTGAGTAAATGTCATTGATTGTTGTTGTGACGTAATAATATTGTAAGTACTCTTAAGACTTACTACATCATACAAAGTACGAACAGTTATACTACTCTTATTTTAAGAGTAGTGTATCTACTCTTAAAATACCAATACAAGTTATAATATCCTTCATGAAACTATAGTTAGAATTGTTACATTCTTTCAAAATCACAAAATTTTAGTTGGGATTAATGTTACATTCTTTCAAAATCCTAAAATTACAAACATTTTTTAAAACTTCAGTGGCTTCAAGATTTTATAATTAGGTTCCATGAATGTTAATTAAAAGAATTTTCCATTACATTATGTTTCACCTGTATTATTTTTTATTTATGTAAGGATTTTGTGACTTGCTTGTGAAAATATGTAATGAGAGGAATTGAATTATAGAATTACAAATATTCAATTGGATTTATGCTATTCATTCTATGAAATATGCATTCTATTATTTCAAAATAATTGTTTCCAAATAGAGAACCCACAAAATGGAATATAACCCCCAATTATCTTTGGATTTCAATTAGAGTACAATAGTTGTAGAAAACATAAGGGATCCATTCACTTTCTATTTATTCAAATGAGAGACATGGTTGCTCCCTTGTTCACTTCAAAGACTTCAAGGGCCTTTTGAGGAGGAATCAGGCTTCTGTCACAATTTTTTTTCTACCTGTGCTGTTAGTCATATTACCTGTGTCTTGCCATGTTTGAAACTTGTATTTTCTTGGGCAATTGTGTCTAGTATTATATTTACAACTTTATTTCATGACATAAGGCAGACACTTCTTGAGCAGAAATCTTCAAGCACAAAACAAATTTTTGAAAAGGGTGAACTTTTGTATGAGTTAAATTTCATATATGAAATGATATGTTAGTTTTGATATAGTGATAGATATTTACTAACAATATGTTTGCTGCATGGAGAAATAAAATTGTTTAGTACAGTAATTCTTTAATTTGGCTGCAAATTTCACAAATAAACAACAGTGGCTTTTGTAAGGTCACTTTTAACATTTCAGATTTTCTTACATCTAAATGCATTCAACTCAATGTGTATTTTGCCAGGTAATATTCATAATGAAATGGAATCTCTGAATAAGATTTTCCATTTCATAGGTGCTTCTTAATCTGACGGTAAATGTATATTTGAATGTTTTGTATTGATATTGAATTCGTTTCTCTCAGGTTAAACTTAAGAGTTAAAATTATCTTTAATTGTTTCTTAAGGAAAAAATGATTTAATATTTAATTTCTTCTTTCTTTTTTTAATTCCAATTTTGTATAGTTATCTTCTGATTAAATGTCAGGGCTTGATTTCTGGCGGAATGTGATGGAACAGAGACCCAGTACCTCAGGAATATATAATATAATTAATATAATAAATATGTCACTATTACTATTAAATTAATAATTAATTTGGGGTGTGTTCTGAGATCTAACATTTTACAAATCAACCACCGTTTAATGTTATTATCAAATATTATTATTATTATTATTATTATTATTATTATTATTATTATTATTATTATTATTATTACTATTATTGTTGTTAGGTTTTGATAGATCTTTAAATATTTTCTTGTATCATTTCGGACTGCCAAATAGTAATACACATGTGTGACCTTTTTGAGGAGATAATGACACAGCAGTTATGAGTGAAACTTCCAATGTGTTCAGAAAAAACAGGTAATGTTGACAATGCATTGTTTGTGCCCTATGCTTTTTGAAATTTAAATCTTATGCTTAATAATGCTATGAATAAGATATTTGAAGTTCAGACATTTTACTGTTTGTATTAAAGAAATTATGTTTTCTTTCGTCATTAAGTTAAGCAGTGGAATGAACATGATAGATTCAGAGAAAAAGCAAAATAGTCTTACTTTAAAACAACTTCGACTTACAAGATGGACATCATGGAATGATTCGTTAATAGCTATATATTTTAATATTTTCAAGCTTTAACAAAAATTACTTTCTTTTAACAAAATGTCAGAAAGTAATGAAGCTCAAAACTTGAAAAAAATGAATGGAATTTTTCATTCCAAAAATACTAATGTCAACCAACATTGTTTCAAAATACCTTCAAAGCCCTGATTTAGATTTGCAAAAAGTGCAGAATTTACTCAATGAAGCTTAAGAAGAATTGAAGAGAGTTTGGAATTACTATGAACATTTGAAAAATGATGCAATGGAACTATCCAGTCTGGAAGGTAGAGGTGAAATTTAATGATAAATGATTGAAGAAAACTAAACAACATATTGGCCAACTTTGCTAAGACCCATGACTCACTGATGGCCAACAAATATACAAACTTAATATTTACTGTGGATGCCTAGATATTTTCATTGACCAGTTGGAGTGACGATTTGTTGGATTGAAAAATACAGTGGTAATTTTAAAAGTGATTCACCCTCAAGTTGTAATAGCTCTTTCAAACAATGAAATTTATGTAGAAACACAAAAATTTTAATCAAAACACTGCAGATGTTACAGAAAACTTGTCGTTTCAGTTATTGTCTTTGCACAGTTGTTTAAAAAGTCAAATTTTAAAACTAAGATCTGTTAAAGTTCTTGCAAACACATTAATGACTGAACATTGCTCATTATTAACATGTTTTCCTTATGAGTGTACAGAATTGACCTTATTTTTGACACTTTCTGTCATGCTCGTCAGAGCCAAAAGAACGTTCTCAAAATTAAAGCTGATTAAAAATTATTTGTGAAGTACAATGTATAAATAATTTATTTTTTTTATCAATTGAGCATGAGAAAAAAGATTTGGTGGAAAATAATGTTTCCACTATTATTAATAAATTTGTAAACACAAATGAAAATACCAAAATTTAAATTTTAAATTCTGTCAAGAAATTGCAAAAATGATAAATTTGTCTAAAGTTTATTGTAATAAATGTTTTCACTACTAAAATTCAGTTTATAATCAGAAAATTAA